GCCAACAGTCCAATTGACTCCTTATTTGTCGAAAAAAGTTAAAGTTCAGACAAGTTCGATCACTTGCAGGCAAAGCACGACCTGCTTAATGCAAACCACTTCTTAGGTCTTTCAAAACTAGCATTTTAATGCTTTTCAAAATCATTTTTTCCAAAGGGTAGATTTTCAATAAATCACTCAAAACAAATAATACCGTACAAAATCTTTCGAACTTGGAGCTCCGAAAATAGTTCTTTATCAAACCTTGATATTGCAAGTCAAGCGTTTACCGCTCCAATTTACCATAATCTAGAGTTTTTTGGGCAAAGAACCACAGAATTTGAAAGGCAAACGCGTTGGGTTCAACGTTTCTGCAAAGAACTCAGCAATTGCAAAGTAATTTGGTTGGAGATTACAAGTGTTGGAAAGCGGAAGAAAAATCGCGTCGGAACCTTTTATAGCACTTGCATGTCTACATTCTAATTTGAGGATAAGTCTGAAAAGAGATGCGAAGATCTCATTACTTCTGATTCACCCTAGTACATTTAGTAATCCCTATGATGCTCGTCAGACGTTATTGAGCTTAATTGTTGAGCTCCGACTTAATTTGATTTACTTCCTTCAGTGTACACTTGTCTTCGCTTGAACTTTCATCGTTTCTAATAATTTGAGGAAGAATTATAAATTAGTGACATTCGAGCAATAAGCAGCTTTCTTGGTATTCTCGAAGAACATTAGCTTCATTTGAGTGTAGCTAAAGGTTTTACTGTATTCACTATTTACAAATTAGCTTGTTTAACTCGCATTTGAATAAGCATCAAGGGGTCTGGAAAAAGATCTAACATGGAAATAGTCGTAAATAGGAAAACATGCTCGTATTAAGGTTTAATTCAACTGGCATTAGGTAGTCGTTCCGGGATAGAAAATAATCCTCTTACAAAGTATTAGCAGGATTATCTTCGCTTCCAACATGATTGCAGGAACAGCGCTTGGTACATAATATGTAGAACGCAGCAACATAACTGCCTGGTGCAATATCTGAAAATCACAGAAAATCCATTGTTAGGTCAGCTATGTACTATGTGGAGGAAAAAACATGGAAAAAAATTCAACGATAGAAAAAACAAATAAAAAAGATCA